GCACTTGGTGGTACATCAGCGGACTCACACAGGAGAGAAACCATATGAGTGTCCAGATTGTGAGAAAAGTTTCATTCGGAATTCTGACCTGGTGAGACACCATGCAACACACACAGGAGAGAAACCATATGAGTGCCTGATTTGTGGGAAAAGTTTTCGTCGGAATTCTTTCCTGCTAATACACCAGAAGATTCACACAGGAGAGAAACCATATAAGTGTCTGGAGTGCGGGAAAGATTTCCGTCAGAATTACTCCCTGGTGATACATCAGAGAACTCACTCAGGAGAGAAACCTTATGCGTGTCTAGACTGTGGAAAATGTTTTAGTCAGAATTGCAGCCTGGTGAGACATCAGAGGAGTCACACAGCAGACAAAGTATATGAATGCCCAGATTGTGGAGAAGGTTTCTGTCTAAATTCCCACCTGGTGATACACCAGAAGATTCACACAGGGAAGAAACTGTATGAGTGCCCAGATTGTTGGAAAAGTTTCCTTCGGAATTCTGAGCTGGTGATACACCAGAGAACTCACACAGGAGAAAAACCTTATGAGTGTCCAGAATGTGGGAAAGATTTTAGTACTAGGTCTAACCTTATAAATCATGTGCGTATACACACAGGAGAGAAACCATTTAAGTGCCCCGACTGTGGACAGTGCTTCAGGAAACAGTCCACCCTTATCGCACACAAGAAAATCCACATGAGGCCCAAAGTGATGAATATAGAGAAGGCTTGAATTTCCTTTCTTATGTCCCATCATAAGTCCAGCTGAGAAATTAACTATTTACTTTTTGGCCTGATTCTTTTTAGTCAAATATGTCATAGTATTAGACGTGAAGGAGGGGAGAAATTTGATAATGGCTACGTGGCCATTAGCAGCAGAAGTTGCTGGATATTTATTTTTGCAGAAATTGTACAATTCTGCAAAAAAAATGGTGGTGTTCTTTGCATTTTTATCATGATAGATTACAGAAATGTCGCTTACAAAGTCCCAGCCTTCTTCTACCTGAGTGTCTTCAAGGTTTGAGCCACAGAATTCCCCAACCAGCATCTCTTCAGGGTTGAAACACTCTTAACACAGACAGTTAGCACAGTTAGAGATTGTGGCTCCTCATATAAGGAGAAAGTGAAAGAAGCAGCAGAAGGATTTCCAAGTTTATCTCTTTCTAACTGTTCCAGGAATTCATTGCATCAAGCATGTCTGTTCATATTATGTCAAGAATGAGGCACCGATGTGGAAGAAAACATATGAATAGCAAATACTGTATATTGGGGCAGTGACAAAAGCTGTGTAAAATTTCAGATATAAAGGCTGTTCTGCCCTGCAGGTGACTTTAATGGAGAACAGCTGTAGGAATATTGAGTTGAGGAGAAAAGGGATTGTGGTTTTGAATACAGGATCTCCAGCTTTATTCGCAACTCCTGCTGTGATCTTTGTTTGCAAGTGCCTCCTTGTTAGCCTTTGACAGCTGGAGGGTGAGAGCAAAATCAAGGGGCTGATGCATTTGTGGTCCCCCACCCTTTGGGGAAATGTGAGACAAAAAATTAAACAGTAGATGTTTCATTGCTAAAAGGGCATTCCGTAAGAATCATGAATAGCTTTTGAGAAAGACAAATAAAGGCAGGTGTCGGCATTTCTGTAAACATTGGGGCAAACATGTTCCCAGAACATGGGAGATATTTCCTGTTCTTTCACTTTTCTCCCAGGCCTCCTTAATTGTTTTTTAAAAATTCATTCAAATTTTTTGTAGCAGCAAAAATGACATTTTAGCAATGCAGACGAATGGTCCAGATTTTGCTGGGATCGGAAGACACCAAAGAATTCCAAGATTGTTCATTTCACCAACACAATTCAAAAACACAGATTACAATTTTTTAAGTGGGTCACATTGCATGCAATCCCTTTGCAAAGGACACTCAGTGACCAGGAGCAGATCAGGACTGGCGTGTGGAGAAACCAAGAGGCTCTCTTGGCCAGAGTCTCAACCTCCAAGTGACTTCGAATTTAATGTGCAAGATTTCTAAACTTTTAAAATAATAAAATTATATTTAATCCATTTTCCTTTCTCTCTTTCATGGGTGTCATATTTTGGTGCACATCTTTATCGTGTCTCGTTATGATTAAAAGTTGGAAACCTTTGCAATGATCCCAAAGCCTCTGACTCTCTTACAGGGCTATATAAATATATCAGATAAAATTAAATAAAGCCAACGTAAGAGTCAGAGGGGATGGTATACAGTAGGGCTGGCCCACGGCTGGATGCATCACATGCTGGCCACACCCATGCCCCGTTTAGTGAAGGGGGAAAATCCCAATATGTCATGTGACAACACCGTGACAACGTGAGTTTGACACCCCTGGTCTACAGCCATAAGTTCCCAATCGGAGGAACAGTCCATTTCCTCAGAATCAAACTTTGAAGCTCAAATTGAAATATGTAAAATCTGTGTTCTATCTCATACCCTGTACAACAGGCACACACACACATATACTAGTTGGTAGGGACCCACCAAGCCCCTTGAAGGGGAGTCAGAAGTTGTCTTTCTCCTGCTGTACATTCCCTCAGGGAAGGTCTGTGACTTCTCTGAGGAAACACTGTTGATGGGAGCCTCCCAAAACAAGCAGGTTAGAAGGACATCAACTATGCTGCAGAAAAAGTTAACCCAAGTCTCTTTGGAATGGCACTCAATGCCTGGTGATTTAAAGGATTAGTCATTACAGGTTTCTTGATAGCAACACATGAACTGTCATTTCCTTCAGCGTATTTCTCTATCGCACACGCAGCCCTGCGGACATCGCAAACATCTCAGCAAGAACAACCTGAGTACTCCCTCCTAGTCAAAATGGGAGGAAGAGAGCGAAAAAGGAGAAGTATAAAGGAAGAGAGTACTGCGGCCAAAACCTGCCTCATGTAAAGCAACCAAATCACTTGCAAGATTCGACATATATTAAGCATGCAAACAATCTTTGTACACACTGAATTCCAGCAAAGCATTGGCAGCTTTCGGTGGGTCAGTGGCTAAGATGCTGAGCTTGTCGATCAGAAAGGTTGGCAGTTTGGCAGTTTGAATCCTTAGCACCGCATAACGGAGTGAGCTCCCATTACTTGTCCCAGGTTCTGCCAACCTAGCTGTTCAAAAGCATGTAAAAATGCAAGTAGAAAAATAGGGACCACTTTAGTGGGAAGGTAACAGTGTTCCGTGCGCCTTCAGTGTTTAATCATGCCAGCCACGTGATCACGGAGACGTCTTCGGACAGTGCTGTCTCTTCAGCTTTGTAACGGAGATGGGCACCGCCCCCTAGAGCCAGAAATGACTAGCATGTATATGTGAGGTGAATCTTTACCTTTACCTTACAAGGTCCACATGGCAACCATGCTCTCTGTGAGATATGATCAGGGAATGTAAATACCTTGACTCACTGGTCCAGAAACTCATGTCTGATTCTTCCTTCTGTGCCCAGTCAGGCCCAATTCAGCTACTTGTCAATATTTACTTACAACAAGACTAAGCTGTCTATACAATTATTGGGGCGCAGGTGCGTCTCAGAGGTTTGCTAGAGAATGTAACTGTGGTCTGCGTGGATAATCACTGGAGACATTGCATGATTGAGCAGAGAACACAAAGTGTACCTCTGTGCTCCCAGCCCAGCATGGTCACCCACCCTATCCTATGCCCAGAGGCCCCCCGGTGCAGAGAATAAAGAAAATGGCATTAGAAGATATGCAAACTCCATTTCTAAAGAGACGAGGGGAAAACATTTCCCAAGCCTGCACCACACATATCTTACACAGAAGAGACTCCTCTTTAGGCACCTCTTTAATTCACATAAGTATAAGAAGTGGGTGGGGGAGGAGGTACAGCACAATCAAAATTGCAATCTTCTCTTATTGCATCCAGTTTCAATGGGGAGGGGGAGGAGAGTGTTAAGCATGTTCTTCACTGCAGTTGACACCCAGGAGTCTTCAATGGCTGAGGAGGGACTGGATCACCTCAGGTGGCCTGGAGGCAGAGCTCTTCCCTCACAATCAGGAGGCTGTGACTTCGACCCTACGTAGAGGCTAATATTTGGAATAGACTCTCCTGCTCGAGCAGGGGGTTGGGCTAGATGACCTCCAAGGTCCCTTCCAACTCTGTTGTTCTGTGATTCTAAGTTCATGTCTAGCTTCACCAGGAGGTCCTACCCTGGGCTTGAGGGGAAGGAGTGGGGCTTGGAAGGAGGATTTTTTTTAGGGGATCGAAGAGCCGTTCGCAGAAGCAGCAACTGAAGAGGACAGGCGGCAGCTGAGAAAAGTTGCACCGAGCCGGCCAAGCGCTGATGCTCCACCACTGCTGCTGGGGGTGTGTGGGTGGAGAGAGAGAGAGATCCGACCTAACCTCAGAGGGCTGGCGTTCATGTTCTCTCTCACACACATACACGCACGCACGCACATATATACACACAAACATACAGAGGTCCCTCACACACACCCCTCCAAGGTAGCCACATTCCTTCACTAACCTGCTTTTCAGCTCCATTCTCTGGTGGAGGGGGGAGAGAGACGGTATCCTGCGATCCCAAATAAAGAACAATTGAGCGGTAGGAAAACGGAGTGAGGGATTTTCCTGAAGACTTTTTGGGGGGATTTTCCCAGGGTCTCTGCTGCTTCTGCTTTTGGCTGCAAACAAGGAAAGCAGCAGAAGTCTTTCTCTCCCCCAAACTCTGCCAACTATGCGCTCTGTGAGAGATGGTCAGGGAATGTAAACACCTTGACTCAACCACTGTCGGATTCCTCAACTCACATTCTTCCTCCTGTGGCCACTCAGGTCCAATTCAGCTAGTTGTCAATGTTTACTTACAACAAGACTTTAAGCTGTCTATACCACTATTGGGGTGCAAGGGCATCTCAGAAGTTTGCGAGTGAATATAACTCTATGGTCTGTGTGGATAATCACTGGGGACTTTCTATGACTGAGCGGAAAACACCTCCGTACTCCTAGCCCAGCACTATATCCACCCTATCCTATACCCTCCCTATGCTCAGACTGAAGAAACTGGCTGTCACCTCCCAAAGCATCCCTGACCTGCTCTCCTGTTGCCATAGGCAAGGGGGATAGGAAAGTGAACTTTGCAGCTGAATCGAGGAGCTGGCATCTCAGTCAAATCAAGGCACATTCCAACCGATTAACGCTGAGGTCATCTCCATGGAAACCCACAGTGGCCAGACTTGTACAACCCACAAAATTGCTTCTTTGGGAAATGTGACTGACAGGGTCAGAGGTAAAGCCCCGAATTAACTGAGATCAGAGTTGGCTCAACCTGGTTGGTGCCGCCATGAAGCTCCTAATAAATAACTGGCTTTCTTTTGAAGCTTGGCTTGAAACTCATGATTTAATTAGGGCGTCTGTTGGAACCCTGACACTGGCCTTGGGAGATATGCAAACTCCATGACTAAAGAGGTGAGGGGAAAATGTCTCCCAAGTCTGCAGCATGTGCATCCTATTCAGAGGAGACTCAGACAAATCTGAAAAAAGTGACTTATGACCATTTATCGCACTTATGACTGTTGTAGCAACCGCCTGGTCATGTGATTTACATTTGGATGCTCAACAAGTGACTCAGATTTATGACGGGTGCAGTGTCCCAGTGTCATGTAGTCCTGTTTTGTGACCTGCTGACAAGGGAAGTCAATGGGGAAACCAGATTCATTAACGACCATGTTATAACCATGTTACTAATTTAAAAACTGCAATAATTCACTTAAATATGGCAAGAAAAGTCATAAAATGGAGCAAAACTCACTTAACAAGTTTCTCACTTAACTACATAAATTTTGGGCTCAATTGTGGTTGTAAGTTCGGGATTATCTGTAACTGAGATGGAAAAGAGCTGATGGGGTTCCCATTTTCCAAAAAAAAAGGAGGACGGGGACAAATCCAGGAAATTACACACAGATCAACCTGACATTAATACCTGGTAA